ATATTCCACATATGAGTGAGATCATACAGTATTTGTCTTTCTCTTTCTGGCTTATTTCACTTAACATAATACGCTCCAGGCCCATCCATGTTGTTGCAAATGGGACAATTTTGTCTTTTTTTATGGCTGAGTAGTATTCCAGCCAATGACTTTTTTTAAGGCAAGACAGACTATACATATGTTATGCCTCTAATCAACTAGTTTACTAGTCTGGTGTAAACAGGAAAATAGGCTTCTATAGGATGATTTATTCCTAGTGAACCTATGCAGGCTCCTAAGGATCACTACACATCCCTTGCTTTTCCTAAGTGTGAATGAACCATTTGTTAAAAATTTTTTTTCTCCCACAAGGATTAGTGAAGATCATCAAGCTTAATATCTATAGTTCCTGGATAGAAAATCTAGACTCCCCCCAATTTGTTTGTTCAGTCATTCATTTAACAAATGTTTGAGTGTCTTCTATGTACTGGTGCTGTGTAAGGTAAAACCCCAGGCCCCGCCTTCACCACCCTACCTCTGCTTCATTTTTACCTATTGCCTATAAATGTATCTGCTCCCTCATTAAGCTGTAAGCTTCTCTGAGGGTCTTATTCATCTTTATACTTCTTGTGGTAGTGCCTACAAGGCTTGTGAAATAACAATCAAATAAAATTTTAGGAATGGAAGTGACATTAAAGGATAGTAACAGATCAAAAAATTTACACAAGGACCTAGAACTGATTTTCCTGCTCTCTTTTTAAATTTATCTCTATTTTTGACTTTTGAAAAATGTTTTCTTCCTGAAATCTCTATCGTGTTCTTAAATGTTCAAGGTAAATGACTTTTTCTTTGACAATTGTGATGCAAACTTGAGCTGGATAGCTAAATTTTTATTATAATATATCAAGTAACTTGTGGATTTAGAATCAATACCTGATAGTTTTCTTTTGGCCTTAACTCACCCCACTCTGATTTACCTATCCCATCCTACTTCTTCCTCTGTTCAGACGGTTTATAGACTCACTTCTTCAGTGAGAAGTTCTTCATTTTTATAAAACAGAGTCAGCTCATTGTCCTGAGACACAATGATATACAGTGTAGACTTATATATCTAGCTGCCTCTTTTAACATATATACTTGGTTGTCTAACAGGCACCTCAAACTTAGCATGACTAACTGAATTCCTGATTCCTTCTCTACACCCTTTTACCCTGCTCCTCCCCTGTTTTCACCCATCTCAGAAATGGCAATTCTACTAGTTTAGTTTCTTAAGTCCAAAACTGTGAGGTCATCCTTGGCTCTTCTCTGTCTCTCATACCTCTTATCTAATCAATCTGAAAATTCTGTCAGCTATTCCTTCAAAATCTATCCAGAATCTGACCATGTCTCACCACCCACACTGCCTCTATCCTGGTCTAAACCCTCATAGTCTCTCACCTGGATTATTGTTATGCTCCCCTAACAGGTCTTCCTGCTTCTGTCCTTTCTCCCTGCAGCTAGTTTCAATATAGCAGCCAGAGGGATTCTGTTGAAACATTAAGTCAGATCTTGTCATTCCTCTGCTCAACATCCTTAAATTGTTCCCCATTTCACTCTGTGTAAAAGTCAGAGTCCTTACCTTGGCCTATAAGGCTCTAGATTGGGCTTTGCTCTCTGATCTCATCTCCTTCCCTCTCTCTCTTGCTCACTCTGTTCCCAGCCATGCTGATCTTTTTGGAACATGCCAAGCATTCTTCTGCTTTAGAGCACTAGTATTTACTGTTTCCTCTCTCCTCTCCCGCCCCCAAATATTCGCATGGCTCACACCTTCATTTCATTCAGGTCTCTTCTCAAATGTCACCTTATTAGAGGGACCTTCCCTGATCACTTTACAGTCCACCCCATCGCTTTCTCTCCCTCTTGCCCTCCTATATTTTTCTTTATAACACTTATCACCACCAATTTTGTTTATTGTCTGTCTCTTTACCCTGGAAGTTAAGCTCTTTGAGGGTGTGGGAGATCAAAACTGGCCACCCTGAAATATATCTGTTTACTTTAATTATTTTCTCTGATGGACATTTGACCTTCCCCAAACTGCCTAAATGAATTTAACTCTGGGTGTAGACAGACTGGCAGGGTTCTTGCTAAGACCATTCTTTTCAAAGTTCTGTTTACCAAATATTTACATTTGTAAAGGTATCTCCCTCTGTGTGCTGGGAAGAGGTGGGGGTGATGGCGTTGTCTCTGGAAACTCTTATCAGTATGGAAGAAGAAGACTTAAATCTACATACTCTTGATTACTATAATTCCTGTCTCTCAGGCCACATTCTCTACAGATAGCCCTGCAAAGCATTGTCTGACAAACATTTACATTTCCCTCTTCATGTAAATTGTCATCTTCCCCTTTGAAATCCCAAAACACCACCCACCCCCAACATCCTCCTTTGTCTTTAGCTGAAGATAGTATTTAAGAGGAGAATCTCTGCCATTGTGTTGAGAAACTCAGTGTCTCTGGTTTCTCCCATGTATACATGTTATTAAACTTGGTATTATTTTCTCCTGCTAACCTGCCTTGTTAATTATTTGGCCAGCCAGAAGAACCTTAAGGGAAAGAGCAGAGGGGGATTCTCCCTCTTCCCTGACAAGGGCAATAAGAAATATTTGTTAAGGGACTACTATGTGCCAGATCCTTTTCTAGGCAATACAGATTTAAGAGTAAACAAAACAAACACCAATAGCCTATGCCATTTCCATTCTAGCATTATATAATATTCTGTATTTTCTCAGTAAATATCTGATGAATGTATCGAATAAACATAGCATACACTCCACATAGTAACAGAAATGGTTCAAAAGTAAAGGAAATTTGGGTTGGCTTGACACTCTTTAACTCATTGGAGCACCAATCACATCTAAAGAAATGGCTCTATAGCTTCCCAGGTGAAAGGCTGGAAATGTAATCAAATCCCAGGTCTCTTAGACAGTATATACTCCTAACTTAATGGGTTCTTGGATTCCTCCCAGCTATACTATTAAAAGAAAAATATCTGGGATTGCATGAAAAATTTGGCACTGGCACAAAATGACTAGAATCTAGTGATTGACTAGAGTATCAGACCAGGAAGAAATTAGATAAGTGCTAAAAATTAATAAGAGAGGCTTTGGGGCCGGCCCCGTGGCTTAGCGGTTAAGTGCGCGTGCTCCGCTGCTGGCGGCCTGGGTTCGGATCCTGGGCGCGCACCTATGCACCGCTTCTCCGGCCATGCTGAGGCCGTGCCCCACATACAGCAACTAGAAGGATGTGCAACTATGACATACAACTATCTACTGGGGCTTTGGGGGAGAAAGAAATAAAATTAAAAAAAAAAAAAAGAGAGGCTTTGGCCTTGGCCAGAAAGAAAAACTTTTCTATCAAAACAGAATAAACACTGTAAAGAAGATCAGTAGCAGAGAAATTGGTAGCCAGATCCAGGTAAAGTGGTTTGGGAGAGAGGAGGAAACTGCCTTCTTTAAGAGAAAACTTGGGAGGCCAGATGAAGAGGTAAACTTTAGAAGCTATTAGACTTCCCACTTGGAGAGGAAGGGAAGATCATGTCCACTACAGAAGGTGATATTGCTCTTTCTCCTCTCCTCCTTAGCAACCAGGGAATATGAAAGATTTGGTGGTACTGGGAGTAACCTCAGGGGAAGTGTCAAAGGTGGAAAGAACTACATGCATTGAAGGGTGAGACGATTAGGAGAGGAAAGGGACCATGGCCTTTCCAGGAAACTGGCTGCAAGCAGTAGGTGAATAACAGGTGCCTTTTACTTCATGGACCACATTTCCTAGGCTTGAACTTGGTCATCAATTGTATGCAAAGCGTCTGCTCTGGAGAATGGCCCCACTGGTTCAGTTCTCCATTCGAGGGCTCAATGCTGCTGTGACCTCCATTGACTAGAACACCTCACTTATCTTATTTCTCTGACTCTCTCTCTCTTTTTTTTATTACAAGGTCCTTGTTTTGAGCTCTTTTTCAGACTTCATCCAGTTCTACTTCTTGCCCCTACTGACAAAGTCCTGGCCCCATTTCTTCAATAGCTCATGCCTTCTGGAACTGCTTCCATCATTGGCCCTTACTCACATTGACAAATGTCAGCTTAAAAATCTCATTTTCATCTTTATAAAGTCATATTGCTTTATAACTCCCCAGACATATATCTTTGGCAGATGCAGCCAGACATATGCTGTATTTCAATCCAGATGGCTTTGCTGCAGCCCCAGAGCTATGCATTCTACAAACTCCTGTGCCAAAGAAGTAGCATTCTGTCAATTGACAAAGTGATGTTGAAATAGAGAGATTCAAAGACCCTGCCCAGGAGCTAGCTCAACACTTTGTTATGCTTCACAAAATGCATTGCTAGTTAACTCAAATCTGTTTCACCCTCAACAGGGATGGTTTTCATGGCACATTATAACCTAGCTGAAGACACAATCAACATCATCAACCTACATTTCACACACCAGCAATTTGCCAGATACTAGGCTAGATTCTGGGGTTATACAAAGAGAAATGAATCCCAGCTCTCAAGAAACTTACAGATGAATTCTAGAAGCTCTAGTTCATATTTGAACATGGTAGCTGATATCAACATTGACGTGATTATCATTGGAATTAACACATCATGTAAATGCCACCATGGCACAACGCTTTGTCAATTCCAAGAATAGGACTGAATCCTCTTGGTGGACTTAGTATATACGAGATGCCCCCAGGAGAGGTGAGGTCCTTATGGAGGGTGATCTTGAGAGAAAAAAATGTTACCATGGCTCTCAGACATACTGGGAAAGGACTGAAGGTATCTGGGGTTGAAGGTGAGAGGATCCCTGTATAGTCAGTTCTTTGTCAAAAGACTGACTGGTAGGTTAGGCTGGAAAAACCCTCTTCTGTGACCTTGGGTCTGTGGACAATATATGAGATGGTGAAGCACACTTGAGAAGGTAGTTCTCAGAAGGGTTCTCTCATTAACTGAGATGTGATAAAGGATCACCCAACTAGACTTACCATCTGCTCCTTCACTGCTTTTGCTTCTTTTATTGCGGTGAACACGCCTACTTTCCTCTTCAGAATATGACTTTTCCTCAGGGAAGAAGAAATTCAGAAGGGCCATCTGTAAAAATAACAAGTATATGAGTTAAAGGTTGACCCCAGTCAACCATAGTCAACATAAAAAACTAGCTCTCTGTAAACAGTCTACCTTCATCTCAAATTCTTAGTCTAAAGCCTGAGTCCATCTTCCCCTCCACTGTAAAAATCCTTTTAATTTGGATACCATTATTATTCCAATCACAAAGAAATAAAAGTTTGGTTAATCTCTGAATCCCCTCTCTTGTCTGACCTGCATATCTAACGAGTAATCCTTCAAGTCTCATTTCTCCATATTGTTCTGGGATTCAGAGAGACCAGTCATGGATTTCTAACTTCCCTCACATATTACTGATGTCTGCCCAGAATTAAACTTGAGTTTGCTACTCCCTCTTGGACTTCATTATTATACATCCATGATTTTTGCACATTCCTATTTATGCTGAACTTTTGGTTTGTTCCCAGAATTCTGTACATGCAATTATGATTGGATGGTACCATTTATGTTAACGTTTTTCTGGGAGTTAGTTATGAAAAAGCACACAATTATTCTCTCTCTTTCCTAGACTCCTACAGAATTCCTACGGCACTTGTGGTCTATAAGGCTCATTTTGGTACTCGATCCTCTACTGTCTTATGATGATGTCTCATAATAATACAAAATGTTTCATATGTGAATGGGCCTTGTTTCACTAATGATAATCACAGATTAAATATATACTTGTTGAACTGAATCATAATCTTTCAGTAAGAGTGCTTCTTTGTGGTTAAAAACATGTTCCTTAGGTAAATAGTGGACAGAGTAGTAGAAGTGAGCGATTCTAATCTTGACTCTGCCACTTATAGCTGTGTAACCTTAAACAAGTTACTCAAGCTTTAATTTCCTCATCTGTAAATAGGGACAATAATAGTACTTTGCTCATAAAGTATTCGTAGGGTTACACAGTATCTAGCAAGTAATACGTACTCAATAAATGTTAGCTATTACTATTATTAAAATTCATCTTCAAAATAGACTAGTTAGATAGTTTGTGGGTTAAAAAAGAAGACATAAATCTGCATTTTCATCCTAGCATTGGTTCAAAAAATAAATAATTCCAGAATCCTCATGTCTGCTGCATCTCTGATTAATTGGAAAAAAATGGATAGGACTCAAGAAAGCCTTAACATTTTACACAAACTTTCTTCAAAACCCTGTGATTTATCACTTACATAGAACAATTACACCTAACAACCTTAATGTTCAAGATTACTGTCTTGATGAATATATTCATGTATTAAATATAAAATTAATAAATGAATGTATGGGTAATCTCCAATTTGCCATAGGGTTATATTTAAAACATTTAGGTTGAACCATATGAAGCTGTCACTTTTCTTTGTCAAAAACCGTTGAATAGCAACAATTTCACATGGTTCTACTGAGAAGTATTTTTGAGTCACTTGATTGGAATATAAAATGCACTTTCCAATAGAATCAACAATAAAGTCTGGCTAAGTTGCCAGATAAAGCCCATAGGAAGTTACTTAACCCACAATATAAATAAGCTATCATACTAATAATAATATAAACCCAAACTGCTCTTTACAATAAAATCTCAGTCATTTGCAACTCTACAAGAACAAGTTATTCTGGATAGAAGAGTTTTCTTGATAACTTTGAGTGCTGAAACTTACTTCAGCTATTTTGGATAGAAATTAGTCTACAATATATGACTTAACTCAGGGCTTATTGAATATGTAGAAGACTATTTGCCTGTACATTAAATGGCTCCAGTCTGTTATGGTTTTGAGTTTTTTTTTTTTTTTTAATTACAATTACAATTACAATACAGAGCAATACATGCTTTGTTAGAGAGAAGCATAAAGTTCTCTGGGGGCAAGAAGAAAAGCACCTAATATAGACTGAATTAGACAAGTCTTCTTGGAGGAGGTGCAACCTCTGTGAGTCCTGACGGATGTCAAGGATTTAGTGATGAATGGGAAACCAAAAATAAATTCCAGGCAAAGGGAGCATTGTGTTTAAAGGTTCAGAGGAAAGAGAAAGAATAGCAGTTTTTGCAAATACAAGTAGCTTAGAATAAGTGGTAGGAGGTGGGGAGGAATGGTAAGGAATAAGCCAAGAAACATTAAATAAGGGCCAGATGATGTCAAGGAATTTAGGCTTTATCCTGCAGCAGGGGAATCCTCTAAAGGATTTTTTCCCTTTGTAAATTTTTGTACCTTATGAAAATTTGAGCTATAATTTCCATAAAGTAAAATGCACACATTTTAAGCATACAGTTTGAAAAGTTTTGAGAAATGTACACACCTTTGTAACCACCACCCAAATCAAGATTTAGAACATTTCCATTACCCCAGAATTTTCCCTTGTGCTCCTTCTAGTCATTCTTCAGCGCTACCCGCCCCCCCCAGGCAACCACTGTTCTGATTTCTATTACTGATATTCTGATTTCTATCATCTGATTTCTATCAGTTTTTCCCATTCTAGAACTTCACAAAAATGGAATCATACAATATGATTGTATGATTTTTGTGTGTTGTTTCTTTCATTCAACATAATGCCTGTGAGACTCATCCATGTTGTTATCAGTAGTTCGTTTCTTTTTATTGTTGAGTAGTATTTTATTGTATGGATATACCACAATTTTTTAATGCATTCACCTGTTGAGGGACATTTGGGTTATTTCCAGTTTGGGGCTATTACGAATAACGCTGATATGAGCATTCATGTATGAGTCTTTGTGGGGATGTATGTTTTCATTTTTCTTGGGTAAACACCTGGTGGGGGAACCTCTGGGTTGTATGGTAAATATTTTTTGTAAGGAAGTGCCAAATTATTTCCAGAGTGAGTGTACCATTTTATACTCCCACCAGCAATGTATGATTGTTCCAGTGCTCTGCATCTTCACTACACTTGGTATTGTCAATATTTTTAATTTTAGCCATTCTTGTGGTTGTGAAGTAGTGTTTCATTACGGTTGGTTTTTGAGTTCTTAAACATCTTTTTAATGCTTTTTTGTCTCTTACCTTGCTGTCAACTATCAGATTTCATTTCACCTACCTGTAACATCTTTTCCAGTCCCTCCAAATTTGTTGTTTATAATCTGCTATAGGCTTGACTTCTTGTTAAAAATAATTAGAATCACATACAAACAGAATAAACAAGCAGTTAGTGTGTTTTTGAATGGCTTTTCCAAATAGTAAGATGCATGTTCTCTGCCAGCTTAGAGGCCATTTGTTTACTACTTGATACCTGGCTGTGGTTTTGATAGGAGAATTTGTCAGATAACTGAATTTTACAAGGGTTTGTTATTACAGCATAATGTTCTTTCTAGGGGAAAGGAATTTTGAAGTACAAATGGAGAACCTCCCTACTATTACCAACTACACTTCCAGAATTTCCTTCATACTTTTTGTGTTCCCTCATGGGCTCAGCTTTTATGGGTGTTCTGGCAGGACCTCCAGCACTTTACTGTGTCCTGGTGGCAGCAGTAGGAGTACGTGCTCACATGTTAATTGTTCCAAAGAGTCTGATGGGAGCTTGTGAGAACTCAAGCTCCCAGAGGAGGAGGGCTGAGGGAGACACAAACTCCTGCAGACAGCAGAAACAACTCCAGCTTCCATGGGTAGTAGGAATAGCTTAAAGTCCCTTAAGAGAGGCTATTGATGAGTATGGGACATTCATAAGTCAAGTGTGCATTAGAAGAGGACTGTCTGTATATGAAAATGCTTTGAACATAGTTCTATTTTCTCAATAAAAACCAGAAGAAAACAACACAAAACACTGCCCTTATTTGAGTCTCAATTAGAGGTAGGAGGGAAAACTATCCTCTGTATACTGTAATGGTAAAGACAAAAATCAGTGACTGCTCATACAAAAAGTCTGGAATTCTAGCTTGAGTTTTGAATTCATTAGCATGACCTCCACAGGCAAGTTGCAGAATATAAACAAAACAGCCTTCTCTCTTTGAATATTGCTTTCCTAATGCAAAAGGGAGGAGGTATCAGGAATGTGGGCCACAGCTAGGCATTTTGCTAGAGGGGAAAAAAATCGAATTCTTTACACTTTATTAACTGATTACATCCTTGTTTCCTATGGTAAAATTACATGGTAAACAGCACCTGCAGATTATAGGGCTCTCAGCTGGAAACAATTCGTTTACAGTGTGGCATGAGGAATATATCCATTATTGCTAGTGACTCTCCAGATATTGCTACAAACATATTTTTTCTAATATCTAAACCCACAAAATTATTAGGTACTTTTTTCTTTTTACCATGACATAGAATAAATTTAATTCATTTTACATTTCATGGCTAATGTATTTGATTGTATTAGATGATTCATAGGAAATTTCTTCTAAGCTTCTTGAGGGTAGAGGGCATATTTTATCCATTTTTGTATACCTAGTGACTAACTCTGGGCCTGGCAAACATAGTAGGCCCATAATAAATATCTATCTGTTGAAAGAATAATAGGACTATCAGTAATCCATTCCTTAAAGCCAGGATTTTATTAGACCCTAATTGGACCTCATTTCTTAGGATCAACCATGGAGAGGTAGACTAAGGACTCATTACACTACTGGCAGTAATCAAATCAAAGGCATCTTAAGAGTGAGAGACTCTGTAGGTCAGTGGCTCTCAAACTTAGGTGTGCATCAGAATCACTAGGCATGAGTGTTAAAACGGAATCCTGGGCCTTCTCCTCCCCAAATTTAGATTGAGTAGGCTGAGGTGGGATCCTAGAATCTGACTTTTCAACTTGATCACTATGAGATTCTGATGCAAGTGGTCCTTGAACCACATTCTGAGAAACTGCTATATTTTTCATTCCTCAACTGGTTCATTATCTCGAGACTAAAAAGGCTAAGTCCTCCTCTGCCACTGGTAAAATAGGGCTCTCATATAGATAGTGTTTTTCACCTTTCATTCTGTCATTCCTAGGGTTAATCTGTTTATATACATGGGTACTTCATCTCTCTCAAGAGGAGGCAGGTACCTACTGGGCTTTTGAAAACT